TTCTGGAAGGTTGGCTCTTTCAGTTTGTTTAGAACTCATTTCCAGTTTCCTTTTTAGATTGGTGTGTAAGTGAAGCCTTTCTAGATTGGTGTGCAAGTGAAGGTGGCCCCCAACTTCCCTTCAGGAATCACCAGGAAAGAGCTAAATGAGTGCCTTCACCCCACAGGGGAGGCACCAGGCTGGATCCCAATGAGGGAAATGGTGCTCCCCTTCAGGCCCAGGAAATGGTTCCTGGAAATAACTCTGCCTTCAAAGCCTGTGGAGCCCACAAAACATTAGAATGGCCTGTGTTCCTCACCTTGCTTTGAGTGTTTTGGGAGGATCTTCTTGGGTCTCCTCATTTCAGGGAGCCAAAAGTCACCTAAATTGGAGAGGATTGTGTTACACAAACTTCCCACCCAGGTGTATAAGACAGATGGTATTGGAAGAAGCAGCAGGAGGGCACTCGATGAAGTGAATGCCTTGAGACCACAATCATGGCAATGGATGGATTCAAATGGATGGATATAATTACAGGGTGTTGTTTTAGAAACAAACAATAAACAAACAAATCAAAATTTTCAGGCCAGGCATGGTGGTGTACAGCTTTAATTGTAGCACTCTGGAAACAGAAGCATATGAATTTCTGTGAGTTTGAGACCAACCTGGTCAACATAGCACAATCCAGGCTTACCATAAATCAGAAAGTAGCCAGATGTGCATCCAGAGAAATATATACATATCCAAATGGTTGGTAATACAAAATGACTTGATCTCATTTGTAGTTAGGAAAGTGTAAATTAAGGCAGAATAGTTGAAATGATGAAAAACTAGCAGTGAAAGCATTAGTGTGCTGTACCAGTACAGGCAGGAGTCTATATGGACTCACACAAACACACACACACACCCCTGACACTATTAACAACATTTGAATGTTTGCAAAGCTGATGATCAGGAAAATCTGGTGCTGTTTTATATATCGAAGAGAAATATGTGAGAAGAGACATACGCATGGACGTAACATGTTCTCTTTCCTGCCAGCTGCCTGGATCCCGCTGCTGTCTCTGCCCCCAAATAACACTATATTAATTACGAAGCTGTTGGCCGTTTGCAATGGTTTCTTGTTGGCTAGTTCTGAGTATTTCCACATGGTCTTCTCTTACTGGAGAAAGGGTCCGGACCGCTTACTCTTCTTGTGTCCTACACGGTGACAGACTGTGCCTCTGTTTCCCACAATCCTCCACCTCTCCTAGTCCCATTTATCTTGCTTCTCTATTGGCCAACAGTGCTTTATCAGCCAATAAGACAACATATACACAGAAGGACTTCCCCCATCACATGGATATTTATGGAAGTACTATTTAGAGTAGTCAAACTTGGAAAGTTAAGCACCAAGTCAGCAAGGAAGTGGATCCCAAAGTTGTCACACTGTGGGGCACTGACATATGGCAATAAAGATGATAAACCACAGCTCTATGCAGGTTTGTGAATGAACCTCACTAATATAGCTTGGGTCACTAATGGATTCAATTCATATGAAGTTTAAAATAGATGAATTAATCTTTGGATTTGGAGTTTGAGTGAGAAATAAGGAGCTAGTCCTCAGAAGGGGCCTTCAGAAGAGTTTGGAGCAGTGTTTGGAATTTTAGCTTGCTGCCAGGATAGTGGTTTGTGGGCATGTGACTTAATATGGATGCTGATTGTCCCGTGGTTGTTCTTGTGTTAAGGACTTGACATCCGGCTCTACTGGGAGGTGATAGCATTGGTAGGAGGTCCTTACATGTTAGGTCATTGATGTGGGGCAGAGGGCTCTGTCTTTCTGACTGATAAGTTTTCCTCCCTATGTGCTTCCACAAGTGATGGGCATCAGGTATTATATATCCTGGAGCTCTCTCTTTCACCAGTTAACTGTGCAGCAGGCTTCATTCACTTGGGCAATGAAGGGATAGATTGATTTGTGTGGGTGCTGTATAAACTGAAGGGAAAAATGGCAAATGCAAATATTCTCTAAGCTCATGTAATCACAAGGCTCAGAGCATTTGTGCCCCTTGATTTTGGACAAAATGTTAAAACAGTTTTAGGTCCATAGCAAAATGTAGTGGAAAGTACAGATGTTTCCCTTGTATTCCCTGACCTTGCACATCACACCCTCACTGTCTACACACCCCAGTCACATGGTCTGCTTTTCCAAGTCAAGAAGCCAACAGCAGCGCATAATCACACGGAGTCCAGTTTACACCGAGGTTCACTCTTGGTGTTGGTCCTTCTGTGGTTTAGACAGATGTGTGGTGACATGTGATTTGCTGACCATGTGGGCTATCTAGTTGTGTGAGGCACACGCAGAAGGCGAACAAGGGTTTAGAGGGCTCTGTATGCAACAGCTATCACATGGACACAGCCTTCAGAAAAGAGTCGAAATCTCAGCTTAGACATCACTACATCCCTGAGAGAATAAAGCTGAGATGGGCATGTGGTGGAGAATCCAAATTCACCTGAAGAAATGGAGGGCTGAGAAACAGGACCATCTCTGTCAACCCGGCGACAGGTCCTGGTTTAAGGGCTTCCTTTTCTTTGATCAGTGCACCACTTAAAACCTAACGAAGGGCAAGGGAGAATGTTAGGCAGGAGTGCCTCAGTCCTGTAGCTGGCTGGGATTTCTATGAAGGTCAGCTGGTCTCTGCACTCACACTTTCAGAAGGAACCTCCAGGCTGCAGGGTGGGGTTGTACAAATGCAGGAATGAGGGAAGAAACAGCCCAGCAAAGGATCAGATGGAGCAGCAGCGCCCTCTGCAGGTGATGTGATCTTCATTCCTCTTTGCTTACTTTGAGTCCCCATAAGGCAGCAGAGGCTTGGGTTCATTTTAAATCCTCCTCTAGTCCTTGTGCTTATTGCTGCACACACACTGAGGGTACAGTTAGAGCCCAGGTATCTGCACTGACGGTGTCCCAGGTGGCCCTAGACAACAGCTTCTCAGGATTGAAACTGAACATTTGAAAATATCCAGGCCTTTAAGAGTCAAAGCAAAATTCTAGCGATGAAACTGTAGCTTGGACAGTGGGAAACACAGGGGATGTCTAGACACCGAGGGTGGCCTGCAAAGTGCCCTGGAGTCATCAGTCCTAGGCCAAGGATGATGTACCATGGGATATTTCACCTGAGCTTGGAGCCCTGCAATCTAGATGCAAAAAGAAAAATCAGTTTCCTTCTACCATCCCTCTCTGTCCTTGTGCTCTGTTAATTCTTCCTCTGAGTAGTTTCGGAGGACTTTTGGAGTTCCTGATTCTCTACCTGTCTGGAAGCTATTCCGTCACAAACATTGTGTGATCCTTGACACAGGAGACAAATGATGCAAAGGAGGGGCAGACCATCGTCCATTGCTGGATGCTAATAGCATTTTGGCCTCATTTTTACAGTAACCCTCAAAAGGAAAGAAAGGCTTCCTGAGTGTGCTTAAAATATAACCGGTACAACTGCAGCCTGTGCTCATTTCTCAGGCAGGTCATAATGTATGCAGATATATATTGTATTGTCCTAGGATGATGTATTGTGAGGAAGGCAGAAGGCAGTGCCCCTTACTTACAGATAGTGTAGGCTGGATTCTTGGTTCCAACGGTTCAAATGTTTTGCTCCAATGGAGCAAATTGACCTTTTTTTCTTTCAAAACATTGGATTCCACATCTTTTGAATATAAATCTGTGGGTTTTTTTGACTCAATGCTTTTATTTTTATTCACACCATATCTTGGTGTAACTGTCATCCCAGACTGACCTGGAATTTGCCTGTGGCCCAAGCTGCCAATAAGCCTGTGCTACTCCTGTCTCAGCCTCCAAAGGGTTAAGATTACAGGTGTGTGTCAGTACATGTTTTAAATGGGACTATTTGCATTATTTTAAAAACCAAGTTTAACATCTTGTTGGAAACAACTGCCAGTATGGAGTGGCCTTTCCCAAGGGAGGCCTCCCAAGGGAGGCGCCTGAAACGATGCTGGGCACCCACAGTAGCCTTTGTTTCTTGTGCAGATCTCCAGGGTTGGCAGCCCTTTCCTTGTGTGAATCATTTCTATTACTTGCCTCTCACTAAAAGTACAGAGTTCTCATGGCTCTTCCTAAAAGAAAAAGTTAGGATGTTCATTAAAAGTCTCAAGGGGTGGAGATCCTTGAGGCTGGGGACCTGTGACACACTGAGCTGATCAGGAGAAGTAGGATGTCCCCAAGTCTCTGTAGGACTAGACTTTGGGACAGGCTCCCAGGGTCAGTAGGGCGCCTTGTCCAGTGGACCACACAGGCTGTAACCAAGAATTCTGCTTGGGAACCCAGTGAACTGCAGACCAGGGACTTAGCCTCTTCTGTCTTGCAATATGACCTGATTTTGTAAAGGGCACAGGGTAAGGGTTGTTGAGGGTTCCTGGAGAGTGAGTGAATGGGTAGTGCTGCCTGTAGTTTCAACTAGAAAAGTGAAAAACTTGTATTTTTGATATCTGAATAACGAATCAAACAGCTTGTTATTGTGAAATATTCATCTTGTGTTTTGAGAATTCACATAGTAACACGGTACCCTTCTGGATTGTCTGATTGCCAAGTGAGTTAATTTATCCATGCCATTCACCCACTCATCAGCTATTGGAGTCTACTATGGTCATGGTGAAGGGTGTGCAAGACAGAGTTCGAAGTTCTTTCTGCTCTTGCTGGAATCCTGGATAGGAGATGAGGAAAAGGTGTTAATCTCACTTCTGTTGTTTCAACTCTTGAGCAAATTTAGATCAACTAATTAGCCATTGTGGCGTTCACTTTCTGTACATATAAAACAGGACCAAATTGTCATTGCATCTAATTTTGTTTCTTTGCATTTGCTCATTTAAGAGTTTACATACAAATTGTTAAATAAAATGTTTTTTAGCCTGGGTCAGGGGAAAGAAGCCAGTGATTATTCTGTCATAGCAGGTGATGGCACGGTCTCTCAGTCTAGCCTTTGCCGTGAACACCCACAGACAAATGATAGTCACTTCTCACAAGACCAATGTGCAGTTGGGGTAATGGGTTTATTATATCTATATACAAGTAAGCATTTATTGACGTTTCTGCCAAAAGTTAGGGGATGAGGTAACAGAAACTTACAGCATGATACCGGGATAGCTGCAACAGGCCAGTACTGAGCCCCGAGACTCAAGAGAACACAGACCCCACACATCACAGCTTTCAGGCAGTGTAGTTATCCAGACCAGAAGGGCAACAGTACAAGCAGCAAGTGACAACAAACACCACTGGTGAGGCAGTCGCTCACTGGGGATGCAGCAGGCTGGTGGGTGCCTGGGGTCACCTTTGGGAAAGGGCTTTAAAATCGCATGAATCCCCCATATCTTTTTTCTATCTCAGGAACTTCTTTGGAGTAACTTTCAGCTTCCTCATCGGAGGGCAGGGACTCCGCAAAGCGCTTCAGGAAGCCTCCGTATCTCTTCTGGTAGTCCATCCACCACTCTGGGCGGCCCACCCTTCTCATGAAGCCCCCATAGCGCTTCTGCAGCTCTTTTGCTTCGTCTTCCACTTGGGGGCTTCTTTTGAGGCCTCTCATGAAGCCCCCATACCTCTTGCTCATGTTGTCATCATTGTCAGTGCTCTCTTGGTGGCGGCCCTCTCTCGCACGGTTGTCTCCTGTTCCCAGGAGCTCTTTCAGCAGGTCGGAGGAGTTGGCCAGGGTGTCGCCCTCATCCGCATCCTTCTTCATGAAGCCACCGTACTTCTTGGCAAGGATCTCGCCTCCATTCGCTTCTTCTTCGGGCTCCACAGGATAAAGCTCATCCATCTTCTTCATGAAGCCTCCATACCTTTTCATGAACCCTCCGTACTTCTTGGCCAGCAAGTGGCTCTCATCCTGTTTGTTGCTGTCTTTGAACATGTTGATGCTATCCCAAGGGAACTCAGGCTTGGACACCTGCAGGAGATCCTTGCAGGTCTCCCAGATTTTGTGAGAAGGCATTTGTCCTTCACATTCCAGTGTGCACGCCTGGGAAGACAAGGAGATGCATGACTAAAAGAGCCCTTCCAGCCAGTGATGGACCATAGTTATCTGCTTTAGTATACACACTGTCACAGAGAAAGGCCATTTCTAGTCTCTTATCACAGCTTTCTCTTGCACGGAACAAGGGAGCTTGGAAAAAGGAAGCGAATGGGTACGAAAGTCTTGCTGGAGAGCTTGCTGGGTATGCTGCACCAGCCCAGGGTTTCAAGGGATCCTCGATTTTACCTCACATGGCTGCTTTCAAAACCCAGTCTTGCCACACTGTTTCCTACTGAAGACGCAGTTTCGTCTGAGGCTTTTCCAACCCTAAGAGAGGAACCTATTTACTTGATTAGGGACATTTCTGAAAAATTCCCTCCATGTCCCTGTCTTTGAGAGACAATCTTATTAATAAGCCTTATGAGATTTAATGAGTGCCCCATCACTACTATCGTAGTCTCCCTGCAAATACTTTCAACCTTTAAAGAAAAAAAAAACCCTGCAGTTTCAAAATAAGTTTAAAGAGAAAGCCATTCAAAACATTATACTACACTTATTTGTTGTGAGTTATTTGATTGGCTAAAAAATGAGATGTATTGACCTTTTTTTCTCTACCTCTTCCTCCCCCGCGCCTTGTGGCTGAATAAAACAGATTACATCATTTTGAGCCAAATGCTGTTAGTTACCTGGATGCAAATGCACAGAGTATTCATATTATTTTCTTAAGATTAAGTCATTGGTGTATAAAACAAGTCTTTTCCAATACAGTCATATTCTTTAATAAAGGAGGAATTAGCAGCATATAATTTAATTACCACTTTCTTATTATAGAGCAATTAAACTCAAGCCATAGTCAGCTTTAGGCTATACATCTTAAATGGACCTTGTTCAGGCAATTTTTCTATTCAATTGCTTGTCTACAGTGAAAATAACATGAATATTAGATTTCATTACAAAATTCTACAATGGTCCTAAGCAAGCATTTCAGGGGGCTTCACAACTTTCTAAAAGACTCTTACAGACACCAGGCCACAGCCCTTGATTTAGACAGGAAATCTAGGCCTGTTGTTGTCATTTAAAAATTGATATGTTCATATTAAATACACACATTATTTTCACAACAAAAGCCTTTTATTGGTGCAATAAAAACTTTTGAAAGATAGTTAACCAGCTTTTAGTGACTATTTTAATTTTTTGTCTAAGAAAATTAAATAAATATGAGTATGTAAAAGCTAAAGAGGAGCTAATTAAAATAACTCACTTTATTCTTGAAAATATATGATTAAAGATTCAAAACATCATTAAAAGGTTAAGCTGCACAACTGGCAATACGATTTCCACCCTGAAAATCTATTTCTAGGTTTTGGTGGCCAAAAGTGAGTGCCATCGATCGATGTAGCCTCAGAGGCATTACCACTTGCTGAGTGCTCTGGTTGAGAGTGCACTAAATGATAACCTCTAGACAGCTGCCAAGGCAACTTCTCATCTCAGTGCCCATTTCACTAACTCATGGGAAATTGGTAAATATTTACTGACTCATTTTGTACCTCCGGCTAGGCAACCTCATTTTGCCCATGAGTTCTAGCTAAAATTCCAAAACAACTGTAATTTTAAAAAACATTCGAGCATGAACTAATTCCCTGTCAATGAGAAAACAGCAACATTAAAGGTACACTGTAATGGAAAACAAATCTCGCCTTCAAAGGCTTCCTAGAAGACGCTTGAATTGACAGCAGCTTTCCCTAACCTGTTCATACTGCGTGTGATCTCCATCAACTACACCACAGATAAGAAGGGAGAGTTACAATCACAAGGACAAACTGTTCCGAGGAAAAGAAGGGGAAAGACCTCCCTCACCCCCAGAATGATGAGTGGCAGTTGAGAAGAAGTAGAGAAACCAGAAGTTTCTCCGCTGTCATACAAGGGCCTCTGATCACGCTCTGCAGCAATAGCAAAGGAAGATGAGCATCACTTCTGAGCTTGGGGAAGTGAAGAGATGAGTGAAATTTGCTTGACTGGGTATTGTTAAATGCCAGTTGTATTTGAGTCCCCAAATCATATAATTTAGTAAATGTGCTACTATTTGAGGTTACATGATAGGATCACAAACTCTTAGAACTCACATCACCATTCCACAGCTTATGTTATGTGCTGAGTTCGTTCAGTTCATGCTCTGCTCATCAAGCAGAGAATAGAGCTAAAATGCCAGTGACTGCTCAAAAAATACCCATGGCTGCACCTGGAATTCAGGAGCCAGACATCAATCTTCGGTATGATAATGTTTTAATCTCTTGCGTGTAAAGCCCATTACATACAAGGTTGATTCTTATTTGCACTCACGCAAATTTTAGGAAAACCTCCCAAGCTCATGATTACAGGAGAAGGAAGAAGGCTGAGAGAGAGTACTACTCCTATTTAAGATGGAACAATTTCCCCTCAAAATTTAAATACACACTGCTCTTCTCTCTGAGGTCAAGGTCGTCTACCTCAACTGAAATCGACCATGTGATTAAAAGATTCAAATGGATCGAACAAGCCTCTAACTGGAAATATCAGTTTGGATTTTGGGACTCCCTTGTTTCTTCTCCATTTCAAACATCTCAAAAATGTGAAGCTCCTGGAAAGGCTCAAGTGTGGGCTGGGGCAGTTTGAGCTAACACATCCTTTTCTTTTGAACTATCAAGGAACTGCAAAGACAAGAGCAAGTGACCATTGAGACAGTGAGTGAAAACAAAGCCCCTGGAAGCTCACATCTACAGATTCAGACCCAGGGGGACCCACCCCACTAGTAATGGGAAAGCCTTTGGACTACGAAGAAGAGAATAGCCATTTTGTCTCTCCTGGCTCCTGTGTGGGACCGACTGGGCTGTCTTTGAACTGGCTCCAGCTCCTCAGGCGCCAGCTGTTTCCCCGGTACTCTTCTCACAGCCAAATCAAATGGTCGTTTTAGCCATTGTTTGACCAAAGTGCAATCGAGACAAGGCAAAAGGGAATTCTGTTTTCCCTTGCTCGTGGGACTATTAGTGGGTTCTTTCTGGCTATTCCCTGAATCCTGCTTGCTTATCCTTTTCCTATCTAGAGAGGAGGGAGTCAGGCCCAAGAAGATCAAAAGGGGTGGGGGTGGGGCACTCTCATTAACAACAAAAATTACCTTCATTGCTGGAAGGATGTTTGTTTGAAGGGCCCTCTGCTTGGGTTCTAAAGTTGGAGTGCTGACTTCTGACAGCCTAGATGAAGTGCTATCCGAAGTATTGAGAAAACACCCTTTTGGGTTCCAGCATCCCCAGGATCAAAACAAAATTGGTTTGTGTGGAGTTAGATGCCTCAGCCCATAAGGATCCCAGATAGGCTGGTTCCAAAATTGGGAGACAGAGCGGATAGGGATCAACGTTTTGGAAGGGTCACCCAGGTCACCAAAGGCTCGTGCCAAGCACCTTTGAGCGCGAGTGACCACTTGATGTTTGCAGGGCTGCCTGCGTGAGCATGGCCAAGGACAACCCCTCACCAAGAATTCTACTCACCAGGAAGTTGATGTCGCCTGGGCTCACCAAGTGGTAGCTGCACTTGGCGCAGTCCTGGCTGCATTCTGCCTGCACTGTAGCCAGGAGGCAGGACCCAAGCACTAGCAGCCAGGTGCAAAGTCTCAGGAACCGCGCCATGGGCTGTAGGAGAGAAGGACGCGCTCGTGGGGACCTGGCCCGCCTCTGAAAGGTTCCCCAGTAGGGAAGCTTGCTAGGTGGGAGGTCTTAGAGCAAGACCCTCAGAGACACTCTTTCCTAGACCCCACCCACAACCCAACACATTCCGGGGTTACTCAGGGATGACTTGGTCAGGAGTGGCTCCAGTTGTCCTGAGGCTTCCCCGGGGGACATACTGTCTTCCTAGGGCCATTCTGTCTTTCCGGGGGGGCTTCCTGTTTCCTGGGGCCACCCTATCTTCCCCGGAGCATCCTGGCTACCCGGTGGCATCCATCCTATTCTTCCTAGGGTGTCCTGTCTTCTCTGGCGTCGGTTGCCTGGGGGCAAGATTCTGCAGCAAGCATTGGAGATCGCTGCTGGGGAGCGGGCACTTGGGATATAGGACCTGGTCCCCCATGGCAAAGAGGAGCCCCGAGAAAGTGGGGCGAACGCATGCAATTAGGGAACAGGTGATGGTCACCACGCCTTAGGAGTCTTGGGGGGCAAAGTCACTCACGTTGCCGCAGGCAGTTCAGATGGAGCAGGCTGCTGGAGGAGCGGGTCCTAGATGCCACTCTGCAAGAGAGAGAAAAACAAGGTAAGTGTGAAGCGGCAGCGTCGGAGAGCTGGGCAAGGTGCGGGGCAGATCGCGAACTCACCGTCGCGGTCCTCGGTGTCGTTGGGCTGCGGGGCTCTGAGCGCCTGCCTCGCTGTCCGGAGGTTGGCAGCGGCCACAGCCACTTTATAATTAGCCCCAAACCGAAGGAGGCACGCGCGCCCCAATCGCCGGCGGGCTGCAGCTGACGCAGGCCCTACGCCAGCCCGCGCCGACGCCTGGCGGGAGGGGCGTCCCCGCAGCACAGCACGCGGCCCCCGGGGGTGGAGGGTGCGAGTGGGCGCCGGAGGTCCCCCCCCACCGCGCAGTTAGGAACTCTGGGGAGGGCACCGCGGGCAAACTGCTTTCTCTGCGTGAATCACTTTGGTGGCACCGTGGATGGGGGTGTTTGAAAGGGCAGATGGACTTGGGTTTCTATGAGAAGGTGGACACCCTCGGATTCCGCGAACCTGCCCCTTCCCCCACCTCCTCTCCAGGAGTCCTGCGAGGGCATCCACTGCACAGTTATCCGAAAGGCGTAATTTTTTCACCCATCTGCCCTGACTTTCTTGCTAACAGCGTCAGGTGCACAGTAGGCATTCAGTTAGTGGTTACAGAAATCAGTAGTTGGAACTTTCTGTGGATCTTGAAACTTTCTCCTTTAGATCAGTGAAATCTGTCGCTACAGAAGCAATACCTCAGGCACACAAAACAAAACAATCCCCCCTAACCTAAACAAAAGGAACATCAAAAACAAACAAACAAAAATAACAAAACAAAATAAAAAAAAAAACCAAACCAAAAACCAGGTTCTGGGAATCCTGTTCTCCAGGACCACAGGAAGGATCAATCTGGGCCACCTGGGCGGACTTCCAGGTTCCGGACTTGGCTGTTGCTAATGTGCTGCACAGGGTGTTTTGGGGGTGTTTGATGAGTAAGGGGGGTGTCGGGGAGGTGTGATGTCAGTGTGTCAGGAGTTTGGTGTGGAGGGAACGCTTGTCTTGGGGCTTGCTCATCTTATCCACGGGGAGGGACCTGGATGCTGAAGGGAAGCAGGGGCTCGGAGAGCAGCCAGCCGGCTCCCTCACTTCCAGGATCCATAGATGGTCATTGGCAGGAAGCTTAGATCTCACTGTCTCTGTCTCTGTGTCCGTCTCCATCTCTGTCACTTTCTTCTGTTTGTAAAAAGACAGTTGAGGTAACATGCTATTATGTAGGCATATGAGATAGAAGGCACGGTGTTAAGGACAGAATCAATTGGAATAATGGACGAACTCAATTAACCTGTCTGGACTCAAAAGCTGTTTTTAACCACCACCTATCATCTCTCTCCACTGGATCTTTTAGTTTATCTAATATCCCCTTTATAAAATTCACCCATTGTTTGTACCTATCTCTCTCGTTCTAGTATCTCCCTTGTCCTAGGAGGATGTTGCAAACAGTTCGAGAGTTCATGAAAAGAGGTTCTTAAGGTTTCCCCAGGCATACAAGTTATTTGCAAAGACTCTGCTACCATTTTCAACCATCGCAGCTCCTGCCTCCACGCAGTTCCTGAGAGGCTCGATCTGAAAGGCGTCTCCCATTTTGGTCGCTAGAGGGCGGCGCTCTCTTGCGTTGGTGGATCACACCAAGGACTAGTGCCCGCATGTACTCCCCTGAAGGATTCACTGTGCTGGCTGAGGACACTTACGGGAATGCTCCAAGGGGTACCCCGGTGCACCCGCTTTTCTCATAGCTTGGGAAGCCTTGTACTAGGACTAGAAAAGCACAATGCTTGTTTGGTACAGAACAGCCATTTCCTCTCTCCTTTTAGTCGCTTCCCACTAGCGTTTGGATGACTTTTGCTCTTTCTTGCTTTTTCTCCCCACGCAAAGAGATTCTGTCTGTCGTCACTTAAACACGATTTCCTCTCATTGCCCAAGTTTTGTAAAAGAGGCCACTGAGCTGCAGTACTGTGTAATATACTGAAAAGAGAGTCACCTTTCTACATCTGGGCTTTTGTATACCTGAGATATTTTTCAGACCCTCGAAGGTCTAGTTTGCTTCTCTTGGAATGTTTAATGTCCTTTCTGTGTTCCTTGGAAGGTTGCGTTTTTCCCAGTGGCTTTAAAAATGTCACAAGAGAGACAACAAATGAGAATGCTCCCTAGAACTTGCCAGGCCTGTCTGGCACAGATAGTTAGGTTATAGCTCCCCCCCTCCGTGGTTAATAAATATGTGCCGACTGGCTGGTTGCATGAGCGGGGCTCCAGTGGGTTGATCTTGTTTGTAAAGCAAATCCATCATTTTCTCTTCTTATCACCTCCTCCTGTCTGCCCAAGGAGTGCAAGTCGTGTTTCTGTATTCATTTCTGTTAGATCTGAACAGTAGCAATGATAATTTGGGATCCATTCTTTGTCGTGATCTTTTAGATATTTGTGGTAGATTTGTAGCTGTATTCTGAGAGGAAGCTGTTTCAGAAGTCAGACCCCCAAACATGGAAGGGTCCCTGTCTTAGGTCTTAAAGCATTGTATTCGGAGATTTCTGATTCTCGGGTCAGGACAGAAACCTTACCTTCTTCTGACTCTAGGGTGACAAACACTAGCTGAGGGCCAGCAGAGCAGCTTCTCAGGACTTTCATCCAGTTATCAGCTGTCCAGCACGGTGTTTGAAACGGAGGGCAGAGTGGAAGTCCTGTAGGCACCCCCTTCATCCTCCTGCCCCATGCCACCCAAGCGCACGAGGTCAGGACAGTTAACGCTTTCCTCTGGCCTCTCTGAGGCGCCTGGAGGGCGAGGGAGCTCTGTACCAGCAGAAGCTTCAAGCTCTAGCATGTCAAAGTTTTGGAGCTATGCCAGGGCCAGGAAAACTTGCTTGTTTTCAGCTCCAGTCTAAGGGTCAGGCTGTGAGCTGGGCAAGTTAGCACAAAGCATCCCTGTGTGGAGGGTTCTTTTGGGTGGGCCCAGGAAACTGTCGCAGAGCAACTCGGAAATAGTCACATCCGATTGAACTCAATACTTTTCTCTTGCCATAATCTCCCATCTTAAGGAAGCCGTGTGCTAGTTTATTCTCATTTTCAAAATTCCCAAAACAGATACGACTCTTGAAATAAAAGGCAACCTGGGGTATGGTCACCAGAACCGAGTTCAAGTGAGGGCAGTGGTGTGAGGAGGAGAGAATGAGAATAAATGAAAATGTTAATACACCGTGAGCCTAAAGGGAATGGAAGAATTTTCTAAATTTGAACTTTACCTGTCAGGCAGGGGAAAATGTCACTTTTAGTACTGAGCATAGACAATGACACAATGAGTGAAACGAATTACATTCTGACTCGTCAGATCCACAGAAGAAACTGCTATGAATACTGTCAGTTTAGGGTTTGTAGAGCAGCTTGACTTTCAATAGTAACTTTTGGAAATGTGTTGAGAAACAGTGGTGTTCAAATTTTGCATTGCCTCATTGGACACAAACCTTGTTTAGCAGTCTGCCTTTGATTTGCTCTTAGTCAGTTTTCAAAATTAAATTCCCAGTTCTACCTCTGCGACTCTGTCAAGGAAGTCAGCATGGCAGAGGGGAAGCTACAATTAGGCTGTGAGCCCTGTCAATCACTTTGATGAATGTAGCCACTCTGGATCAGGTTCTTCAGTGAATTTTGCTGGAAATGCTTCACACCACACAGGGCACACGTAATAGATACTAAACACTAAAGCTGTTTGGGAATGTGTTTCAGGTGGCCCTGGTTAAACTAGAGGGGTCATGAAACCAATCAAACCCAAAAAGTGAGCCTGGGAGAAGAACTGGTAGGGACAGGAGGGAGAGAGCAATTATAGCACACACGTACAATTGTGTTACAATATCAAACAACGCAATTAATCTTAAAACACTTTTCTATGAGTAGTCACAACTGTCTAATTTCCACAGACCCTGGGTGGACTCAAGTACTTAATTGTTTTGGCTGTAGCTGTCACAGGACTCATCGCCAACACTGTGTTTGGGAGGTGGAGGCAGGGATGGCTTGCCTCTGTTACATGGGGAATCGTCTCAAAAACCTTCCATAAGATTTTATAGGGAATGTATCTGGGAATCTGCAGAGATGACCTCTCAGCAGCTCATCAATCAGAAAGGCCAATGGGATGCAGTCACAGGAGAAAGCACTGCCCTGCCCTGGCACTGGAGAGATCAAGAAATGAATGCAGAAGAAAACAAAAACAAAACCAGCTGGCTGGAGCAGAAACCCATGGTACCAACCTCTGTGGACTAGTGTCACAGTGGGGCCACCTGCATCCCAAGTGGCAATTCCTGCAGCCTCGGTGTAGCCAAGGCTGCAACAGAAAACTCAGGGATCCAGGCTCATGGGTCCTTACACTGTTTGAGTCTCATCTCTAGGAGCATGACCTGGTTGTCGTAGTGAAAATGGGAGAAAAGTGCATGCTTCTGGCAGACAAGAGGGGAGATGACCAATCATAGAGCATTTTGTTTTAGAGCCCTCCCACCACAGGAGAATCTGGGTAACCTGAGACTGGCTGACCTGAGGGGAAGAAAATACCCAAATCCAGGTCACTCAGGCTATTCTGTTCCACTGACAAGGAGAGTCAGAAAGAACATATTTGCAGTTCATAGTTCAGGGCACAGGCTTCCTGAAAAACAGACTCACAGGGTTATAGATGCCCCTCCTCCCAGACACAAAATTACTACTCGCCTATTGTTATCAGTTCTTTTTCCTCAGTGTCTCATATATAGCTGTCAAGCTATTAATAAAAAAGACAAGGCAGACAAAAAGGTGGAATAGCAGTTTGAAGATAAAAAGAAAGCACTGGAATCACACAGATACACCAGGAGTGTCGGATTCCTCAGACCAGGTGTTTAAAACAGCTGTGGCTTACATGTGAGGGATATGTAAAGGGTTGTAATGGGTAAATACAGAGCACCACATCAGAAGACATAGATGAAGTAAGTGGAGAGATCAAACATTTAATGCAGAGGCTGAATGAAACACCAGGGGCCAAGCATGCTGTAGCACAGGAGAAGGATTTGTCTGGTAACATTGTTGGACTGGATATGCATGCTGTAACACAGAACTATATGTTTGATGACATCGTTGGACTGGATATGTATGCTGTAACGTGGGAGAAGGATATGTCTGGTAACATTGTTGGACTGGATATGGTTGAGGCAATAATCTCTGAGCTAGAAGATACGTGAACAAAATTGCCCAAATAGTAAAAGAGAGAAAAAATA